ACATTGCCAAATCTGTGGGGGAATATAACAATTCAATAAGTAGCTATAACAATTATAAATAAATGCCTTAAAGATATTTCTTTATATTGTCATGGCTGAGTAGGTGACTTAATGAGTAGGTGATTAGTTTCTCTAAATCATTAATATGTTGTAACCTTGTTAAGTTCTGGTCACCTGCTCTCATCCTCATGTCATCTTTACTTTTCCCTTTATCTCATCCCACTACTTGAAGCTAAGGAAAGTGAAGGGTTGTATAGGAGGCCTAGGTTAGATGTTAAACATAGGGAAGAATCAAAGTAGTCTTCCTAAAATAAAGTCATAATAAAACATGTCTTTATTTTATGTTTTCCCACAACTGGTAAAGAAGGCTTGTGTTGGACCCACAGAATCATTAGCTTAGAGGTCATACTTATGATTTCCTAATTATCTGATAATGACGGTAATGATTATCCAATTTGACTAATCCAATGCATTATAAAATATAATTAGCTTTAATAATTTGTTAAAGCCTTTAACATTTTTGGCCTCTATGGTAACATTTCAGCAAACACATAGATGGCGAGAATATAAACGGAAAAAACTACAAAATTGAAAGAACTCATAATCAAGTTCTAGCCATCGAAGCAACTCCAGCGAACTATTTTGGAAACACAAGCGACCTAGCAAAACATTGAAGCTAGAATTCAATATGCAATGAGTTGGAAACCAAAAAACATTCTAGCCTGGCAGTTTGACAAATTATATGAAATAATTAGTATGTAACTAAACATTTACATTGAAGTAAGCATATTGAAGATAGTATTTCAAACATTAAGAGGAAATGTAAATCGTTTGAATAGAGTAAAGAACTCACATGAGAATGGGACCAAAGAAGTGGAAAATCGTTTAAACATTTGAAACAAATTGGTTTTAACCGGTAGGTGTGCAGTCGTTGAGTGTCTAATCGACGTCTATCCACCATTAGGTCCATTACAAGGAGGGTAACAATGGCTGAGCCGCTTAGGTGCAGGAGCGAAGAAGATGTGGAAGGACAATGGCGACTGGCGAGAATGAAATCAATGAAATGATAGAGTATTAAAGAATAATTTAGGTCTTAAGAAGTTGAAAGAGGAAGTAACGGAAGGGGAAAGCACTCACACGCTGCCGTTAAACTGGAAACTTTAATGAATTAAAAGTACAAGAAAGTATACATGGTGTACAATAGCTTTGTGCATCAAGAGACCACTAACATTTTTTCTATTACAGTTATACCCCTAAACAATATTCATTCTTATAATATTGTAGATATATATCAAAACATTCACAATATTTTTGCAAGTGTCGATGTCAGCCGGGTTTATAATATAGATAGCATGTTGTTTTAAAAAAGTAAGGAAATGATCTTTATATCTAATAAGAACTTTAATTAACTTATAAGTACTATTCTAGCAAATAGTCAAATCTTTAGGAAAATCAACATATCTCACACCTCTTTCTGTCAAAGTGTCAAATACTTTTTCTCATTGTAATCTTAGTTGACCACTAGCCCAAATACGTCTAATTCCCTCCTTGACTATCTTCACAACATTTCCTAAAGCGGCTAGACCGTCTTGCATACATAAATTGAGAATATGGCATGCACATCGTTGATGAAAAAATCTACCCATCAAAGTAGTAGCACCACACAATTCACGCAATCTAGGTATGACAACAGTATTATTGGTAGCATTATCAAGACTCATAGCAAACACCTTAACAACCAAATTATACTCAATTAAAATACGCTCAATCAGAATATAAATATTATCAGCGGTGTGATGATCATTAAATTCACGAAAAGCAAGAACATGTCTATGCATTTCCCAATCATCATCAATATAATGTGCAGTCAGACCCAAATAATGTAAATGATGATAAATATCCTAAATTCACGAAAAGCAAGAACATGTTTATGCATTTCCCAATCATCATCAATATAATGTGCAGTCGGACCCAAATAATGTAAATGATGATAAGTATCCTCCCATATGTCACAACAAATAGTAACACGCCCATCAAAGTTTGTGAAAAAAATTTGTAACCTTGTCTTTCCGCACCATAAAGTCTTGTAATTTCTTTCTAAACCGTTTTGCTACTATAATTTCTAAATTGAGGATTTAAACTACCTTGAGCATAATCTCTTAAAGCAAGACTTTCAGCAAACAAATAAGGCAAATTTTCTTCAACAATTAAGTTGGACATACCACTCAAATTTTGTGCATCATTGTATGAGAAATTACCAAAAGGTTGGTTATTTGCAAACCTCGATATTTGAGTTTGCTTCCTCTTTCCTTTGTCTAATTTTGCATACTCCACGATGTGTTTGGCCTTAAGATGCCTTGCGGCGGATCCGTATCCGCCGGAAATCCCCAAGACATAATCTTTGTGACACCACTTGCAAGTTGCGTGCCATTTCCCGGTATCCGCGTCCTTCCACTTATCAAAATTATTTTCCATAAGTTCAGATTTACATTTTTTCTTACCGGGTTGGGATAGGCGGGCTCGTCGTCGTCGTGGGTGACGTCACCCTCGTACTTGGTCGTCTCCGATTGAACTTCGTCTGCATCGTCATCATCGAGCTCTTCTTCGTCAATGGTCGTCGGGATGTCTTCTTGTTGGAAAAAGCGGTTATTATGTCGGTCCAATTCTTGTTGTAGTTGCATGTCGGACATCGCATTCTCATCTCTCCGTTCGTAATCGGTTTCAAAATCATCTCGGCTTTGAGAAGAAGACCCGACATGTCGTTTACCTTTGCGTGTACTAGGAATATTCCTCCGGATCTCGTTCTTTCGATTGCGTTGGAGGTTGCCCATATCAACCGAACTTCTACCACGATCCATCTTAAAAAATGTAACAAATATTAAATTGAAACAAATATATTATTATGAGTGAAAAAGTAATGCAACTTATTAAAACTATTTTAATGAATACTTCAATCTAACAAGTGTAGTTTAATGAAATAAAATTCTAACTAATATTTTTTTATAAAACAATTCGGTTGAAATGTGAATTAATTTAATTAAAATGTGAATTTAACTAAAATGCTATTATTATACTCCCTCCGTCCCGTAATTAAGCTCATACTTTCCTTTTTGGGATGATCCATATTAAAGTTCCTACTTCAAACCTTTCCTTATTTGGCAAATGATTTACACCAAAACAATGTCAAACAGTGTCAAACAGTGTTCAAACAATGTCAAACAGTGCACTCCACAATAAAGTCAAATTTATTTCTTAATATGTGTGAAGTCAAACTAGGAACTTAATTAAGAACCGGAGGGAGTATTAATTATAGCAAATTTTCAAGTACTTTAATTTAGTGAAAACTACTTTAATAAAATGTGAACTACTTTAAAAAAAAATTGAACTACTTATTTTATTTGAAATAAAAATTGAAACTACTTATTTTAACAATTAACTAGTTTTGTAAAGTAGTCACAAAGGTAACAATTAATTAAAATTTGTAATGAACTAATGTACTACTTTAATAAAAAATGTAACAATTAAGTAATCAACTAATAATGTTAAAAAAATGTAACTAATAAAACAAATGTATGAATGTGTATACTAATTAATGGGAGTAATAGAATGTATTTAACTAATATTAATTAAAGTGTAACTAATATATAATATATTGTGTAGACAATTATAAGTATGAGTATTAAATAACAAGTATGTAATAAGTAGATATTAAGTATATATTAGTATATAATATGAGTAGTACACTTATATATAATTAATATATTAATTAGATGTAATATAAGTAATATATTACGGAGTAGTAAATAACAAGTATATAATAAGTAGATATTAAGTATATATAAGTAGATAATTCGAAGTATATTAGTAGATATAATAATTGTATAACTAATATATAATATAATGTTTATAGTATATAATATATAAGTATATTACTATAAGATGAGTAATACACTTATATTTAATAATTTAATATATAAAGTATATATTAAGTAGATGTAATATGTATGTACTAAGTAGATATTGAGTAGATAATAAGTAGAGATTAAGACATAATAAATATAAGTAATATAATATATGTATTTATAAGTAGATAATTAATATATAAGTAGATATAAGAATTGTATAATTATTAAATAGTAGAATAGAATGGAGAATAAGAGAATTTGAGAAGATGAAGATGGAGAAATGGAGAATTGGAGATGATTAAGATTCAAGAATAATAGAATATTAGAGAGTAGGAAGAGTTGGAGAAGAGGTGTAGAAAAATGTATAAAAATAGGAGTATTTATAGGTGTTTTTACCCCCACCCCCCACCCCCACCCCCAAACGCCCCCCCCCAAGACCCACCCAACGGCTATATAGCTGTTTGGGACCGTTTGGCAACGACTAGTGCCCTGTTTGGCTATTTTTTTAAAAAAAACTAGCCATTTGGTCCGAACCGGGCCGGGCCGGTTCACCATTTGCCTAGACCGTACCCGCCCCGTTATATCCTCCGGTTCGGGTCAATGCCCAGTACCGGGCGACATGAACCGGGCCAGTCCGGGCCCGCACAGTAGCGGGCTGGGCCAGTTCACGGGCCAAGCAGTCCGACCCGAGTCCACCACTAAATCGTAGTGAAACGGACCAAAAAAAAAACAAATGAGACAATCGTAGGGCGGAAGAAGTATTTTTCAACTGCCAAGTCTACTTTTTTCTTTGATGAGTGAAGGCTAGTCTATACTTATAAACTACCATTAGAGGTTATCGTGGAAGAAAGAAGTCAAATTGTTTCTTATCTATCTAGCAAATAGTTGTGCAGGACTGCTTTTCAAGACCAATCTGTTGAATAAATGTTCGTCGGACGATCTTTGATAAGTTTTCTTTAATGTTTATTTTCATATTTCCATTATGATAAATTCACAACCATTCCGACTATTTTGACATTCTTTATACTTATTTAACATTTGTAGATTGTTTCGAACATTTTTACAACTAATTATTAGCCACCCATTTGAGAGAAAATAAAATTAAGGGATCAAGTCAATCAGCCGCAAATGCTGAAAAACAAATGAAGGAAAAGATGCATGTATAAATTATGAAGGAAAATATGGCTCTTCACAATATTGATGATGCCTTATAGAAACTGGTGTTGCATTAATCTAGAACTCATATTCACAAAAAGAAACCCAAAAGGGGGAAAGCATAATACTCCTCCATTACAACAGAACAAAATTTTGTTATTTAAACGGAGATAATTCGACAAAGAATCTACTGCTCATCCATCCTCCCCCGACTTTGACAGGGTGGACGTTTTCTTCCTTCAAGGTTCTTGAGTGTTGTTTACACGGCTATGAAGTTCCAGCATTTCTTGATGATTTGGGTCAACCGAGAGAGCCGCCCGACAGTCTCGTAGTGCACCTGTAACGTCACCGATGTGCTCGTGGAATGCGGCTCTGAGGTGTAAAAGGTGGAGATCCGCTTTGAAAGCAATCGCCCTTGTCAGTTCACTAATTGCTTCCTTCTCCTTCCGGTTGTCCATCAACACTGCCCAAATCCACATCCATTACTTACAATATAATTATTATTACGACTATTATTATTGTTATTATTATTATTATTATCATCACTATTACTCCCTTTGTCCCAAAATAATCTTCATTCTTTCCTTTTTAGTCCATCCCCATATAAACTCCTTTTTCCTTTATGGTAAAGAATCTGTTGTTCATATTTCTCTCCTCTGCACGGTTTTGGCCGCACAATTTTCACTTTTTTAATCCCGTGCCCAATCACTATTACTTACTTTTTAATTGAGGGAGCGGTATAATAAAAAGTTTGTCCCTCAAACAGTCAAACCTGAGGGCCCTATTTGTCCTTAAAGCACCGGTGGATAAGGTAAATAGTGAGACAATACTTGTTAAGTCTCTCGAAGTGCTTGACTTCTAAACATGACGGGTCCAGTTAATTTGTAACCCCGCATACTATGGCTGGAAGCAGGGTGACCACAAGTGTATCACACTCTCAAAAACACAACAAGAAGCCTACCGATTTTTTTATAACAAGCCGTCATGTGTACCAACATTTTGAATCAAAGTTTTTGAGGGTTCCCTATCAAGGGGTTTCTCAATTCCTGAAGCTGGGAAGTATCACATGCAGCCGCAAATATCAGATGTGAATTCACATCATTCCAAACACGTTTCTACTCTACGTAGTTTTTAGTAATCAATTCCAATACCCAAATCATTTCAAACAAGGCCAACGTTTCTTACCTGCAGCCCGGTATCTGTATGGGTAAACCCGTAGAGGATCTAAACGAGTGACCATCTCAAGATCTGCCTTTGTGAGCTCTCTTTCACAGTACTCCGACCTCTTCTCGTAGGCAGATGCATTACTCTTGGCATTATCAATCAGTTTGGTCATCTCATTGTATGCAGCAGTCTTGTCATTTTTCAAGAAGTGGACCCGAGCAAGACCTTGGTGGGCCCGGGTGTGTCGAATTTCAAGGGCATTCATATAGCAATCAGCTGCAGCCTCTAGATTCTCACAATCAACATAGACACTACCAAGATTGTTTAGTGCCTATCCAAATTCAATACAATAACACAAGAGTATCATGTTAAATTAGGTCTAACTCACTCCATAAGCTTAACAAGAAGAATGTTTATCTCACACTTACATACTAAATGATGTACCCAACATTTTTATACATTAAACTCAGAATCAGTAAACAACTGAGGTAGAACTGTAGAATGCCCAAATTGCAATTTGCTCACCGAGATACAAATGTGACATGACAAAAAATGGGTTTCAAAGAATATATGACACGACACTGTGGGAGATGTGTAGTTTTTCTAAGGGGTAACTATACGAATATATACTATACAAAACTATCGCAAAACATTTTTATATTTACGGGAATAGCCCGAAATGTTTCTGAGAGAGTTTCTTTCCCGTCTGAAACACGTCCTTCGAGCAAAATCTCTAACCATTAGTGTTATGAAACACAGGCAGTAGATTTATAGGGGCAGAAGAATTATATACCTGACCTTTGCGAAGCCTATCTGAAGGGCACCTCAAAGCTTCTTCAAGCAGTGATATGACAGTTGATGAACAAGACGGATCAAGACAGGAATCAGCCAATGCATAGGCTTTCAGGAAAAATGCTTCAAAAGATCTCTTGATGCGTATAGATTCATCTGCCTTTCTTAGGCCTTCTTCACAATGACCAGAATCATATAAGATCCACCCCTCATAAACCAGGCGTTCATGTTCACTAGATGCATGCTGGCGAGCCAGCTCTAAACTTCTCATGGCTGCTTCTGGGCAATTTAATCTGATAAAACAAAAAAAAACAGTTAAAATGATCTTTTTGGACATTCTTACTACCATAGCATTAAAATTCATTTTAATTTGTCCATCACTTTCATTTTAGTTGCATGTTTCTCATTATTTTGTGAATCAATAATTACCTGAGTAAGAGAAGAGATTGTCTGAAGTAGAGAACACCTTTTGGCGAATCTGACTCGAGCATCTGATAAATTACCGAAAGGGACCCAATATCATCGACAGACGACCATCTTTCATACAGTTGCATCCAACAGTCAGCTTCTGTCCAGTTCTCAACATGCTCCCTCACGAGTGTACGGAGTTGCAATGCCGGGACCCGCCCATCAAACATCCTATACTCCGGACATAGAGTGAGGATTGCTTGAACATCACACATGGCTGATTGGTAGTCTTCTATGGCGAGGTAGAAACAAAACCGGAGCTCTAAACACTCCAAAGCTTGTTTGAATCCGAGAATCCGGTTAATTTCTGCAAGGGCACTCTGGGAATTTTGTCTTCTCATGAACGAAGCTGCTCGGGACATGTACGGGTAAGTCAATGTTGGGTCCAATTCAGTCGCTCTCTCCAAATCATCCCAACTCGTGTCTCCTTCGCAATGCAATGACCTCTCTTGGTACATCCATCCAAGGGCATTCATGGAAGAAATTATAGAACTTAATTTCTCAAATGCCAATCTTTTATGACCCTTGATGTGACTCATCACTCTAGCCAAACCAACAATGGAGTAAGTATGCCCAGCGTCAAACGCGGCCCGGAAGTGAACCTCAGCATCATCATACTCTTTTCTAAGGAATTTAACACATCCCAATTGATGACAAGCCACCATCTTCTGTTGGTTGTTTTCTGAGGAATCAACCATCCGTTCCAAGAAATAGGCGCCCATTTCCAATTTCGGGTCAGTACTCATTGCCACTTCACTTAGAAAACAGTAAAGGGAAAAGGCAGACTCACCGACCAAAGTTGACATTTGTTGACTTTTAACATTGCTTAGCAGTTCAACCACCCGACTATCGTTCAAAGAGTGTGGGAGGTCTCGGAGGATGGCTTGCAAGCACGAGGCGGCAAGGACGGGGGCATCCTCCTGAAGGGCACATTCCATTAGGTCAACAGCGTCCATTGTAGAAGATACCAGAGAAGACAGTCTCCTATCACACGCATCCTTGAGAGTTTCACAACAGAACTTGTTGGAAAACACCAAAATTTCTAACAAAAGGTCAGATGACACTCCTTCATCCAGTGTGCCCTTTATGGTAAATTTACTTATCAGCCTAAATCCCATTGCAGAAATGTCATTTTCTGACAAATCTATTTCATCACAAAAGGATTCTTTAAAACAACCGTTAAGCATGGCTTGGAAAGGGGATGAAAGGGTAGCAATCTTTTTCCTGTCACATACTATTTTTTCACGCCCGATTTGAAATGTAACAGTTCTAGAAAAAGTAGAATCTACATAGGAAGAAGCTATATATACAGGTGCTATCTCAGAAGCTATATCTATAACCCCGAACAACTCCTTTGCACATTTACCACAAGATTCAAGTAAGTCCAAAACAAAATCTTCGTCTTGCTTTTCATACTTCAACCAAGCCCCAAAGATTAGCTTATCATATACAGTTTCGGCTTTCAAGAAAGCAGCACGGAGGCTTCTCCGCATCAATTTGACTTCCCCAAGACCCTTAAAGACCTGAAACTGAAGCAGATAGAGATATGACCGTTTGGTTGGAGGGCACGTCTCAAGTTCTTCATGAATTTGGGATAAAACCTCTACATAGTCAACAGGTTTGAAGTGTGGTAAAATAGGAGGTTGAGGAACCTTGATTAATGAGTCTCTGCAAACAAATACATAATAAATAAATAATCATTGGATCATTATGTTAAATTGGACACCATCTAAAATAAGAACATATCAAGAAAAAATTCGATCTTTTTGCTTACATTGAAGAGTAAGAAGAACGGGAGGAGAATTTCGGAAGTTTGCCCCTCTCAACTTGGAGCCATGATTGTGGATTGATGGCTTTTAGCTGAGAATCTCTGCAAGAATCTGAAGGGAAGAAGTTCCTCATGGGACATAACAGATTAAGCACCTCCCAGATCTCCACAGCAGCCAGATGGTGTCTATACTGTGTTGCTAGTTCTATTTTACCCTTGAGAGGAAAAATGAGCAAAAAGAGAAAACGAAAAACGACCCTAAATTGCAAGTATTTACGAACAAACACAACCCTAAGGATCAAGATCCAACTTTTTCACACACCCACAAGGCAAAGATTAAAGCCCCAATCTTGGTGTACCTGAAAAATGCAACCTTTACCAAACAGAGCCTTGGGATATATTGTTACTGCAAAAAACCAAAGCTTTATCAAGATCCAAACGATGATAGAAAACCCAGAAAGGTCAAAACCAGCAATAATCACCAAGATCTCCACCATAACAACCAAAATCCCTGAAATAGAAAGAGTGAATAGGTAGCTAGGCCACTGACTTTGTTTGGCACTTTGGCTTGTGAGTGTGATTTCAAATCATGGTTGAGGAAGTGGGAGCAGAATCCAGTGGAATATAATCCAGCTTGCACTTTCTTCTGTTTGGTAAAGTTTTCCTTTCTTCTTTACCTCTCTCTTTTTTCCAACTGTTTCTTTTTTCACCTTTTATTTACTTTCTATAGTTCCACTTTCATTTTCATTCCGTTGGAGACCATGTGATGGGAATTGGCAGCTACAGTTTCAAGACCAAGAAATAGCACCAACGCCCAAAAGCCATCTCTTCTGGAAAAGTAAACTCACTGGTGCAATTGAAATACGTAGTGATAAAATTTCCCCTTTTGTCATCCTTAATATTTTTATTTAAAAAAATCATCTAGAATCGGAATCATTGATTTTGTAAATTTTTGTAATTCGTGTGCTAAGACATCTATAATGGAGAGGTGGATTGTCAAAAAAACAAAAACAAAAAACGAGGTCTATTCTAGTTCAGACCAAGGTTCAAGAGAAGATCTACATTGGGACCTTCGGTCTCACTCCCTCTCTCTCCTACAAGTTGGTGTCCATGTATTTTACATTTACTTTTGTTTAGTATTGGAGACCCATTAGAATGGTAACATTTAATTAAAATTCGTAATAAAGAAATAATGATAAATAATTTTTATGGACAAATATAAAATTTAGCTTATACCTATAAAACATTAACCTCCTACTTTTCCTCTTCAACCCTAGCTACAACCTCCCAACGCCCATCCGCGTAACCGCTTCAACAAAACTCCGGCCTGGGAACACAGTCGTTGACCCAGAAGCAACGTGGCTAGCTGGGACAGTTGTCCGCCTGACTTGGATTCAAGCGCCGCCCGACGTCGACCTACTGTTCGTCGTCCAGCCGCCGCTCGTCGTACAGCCTTCGCCCACCGTCTAGTCATGCCTCACCCACAGATAGGGGTGTGCACGGGTCGGGTTCGGGCGGGTCGGGTTTGCGAACCCCAAACCCGTTCGGGTTTTTTTAATTTAAATACTAGGCCCGACCCTTTGATATTTCAAATCGGGTATTTCGGATATTTTTAAGTCGGATATTATCGGATATCGGGTCGGGTTTCGGATATTTCGGTTATATTAAAAAAAATTATAATTGGATAATTAAAGTGTTTAAATGCCACTTTGACAAAAATTGTACACACTAGTGCACTAAACTTCCAAATTACACAAAAAATTTAACACAAATTGCACAAATAATTACACAAATAATTGAACACAAGTATTAATTTAACATATTCAAAGTACACACTACATAATTTAATATATTTCGGATATTTTGGTTATATCAAAATACATTATAATTGGATAGTTAAAGTGTTGGAATGCCACTTTAACAAAAATTGTACACACTAGTTCACTACACATTCAATTTACACAAATAATTTAATACAAATTGCACAAATAATTACACAAATAATTGAACACAAGTATTAATTTAAATATTCAAAGTACACACTAACATATATTTCGGATATTCGGGCGGGTCGGGTTGGGATTTTACAAACCCTACCCGCCACCCGGTCTAGGCCCAATACTAATCGGATTTTCGGTTTCGGGTTTTTCGGGTCGGATATCCACTTCGGTTCGGATAATATCCGAAAAAAATATCGGGTTTTTCGGGTCGGATCGGGTTTTGCTCAGCCCTACCCACAGACATCCGGTCTGCGAGCAAAGTCATCGTCCCAAAGCTTGCTCTACACCTCCGACGTGGAAAAGCTCCTGATTTCTACCTCTGCCATCCTCATCGTCATCCCGAACCATGCACGTCGCCTCTCAGCCGCGCCCCTCCGTCTTGGCGCGTATACTGTAGCCGCCGCCTAGTCGTGCACCTTCGTCCCCGTCCATCCACTGTCGCTATCCAGCTGCATGGCCGCGCTCCAACTCACCCTCGCTGTCGCCCATCCATCTGCCTCCATTCTCATTATTCTTTTCTATTTTTTAAGACCAGGGTCTATTAAATTTAGGGTTTGTGAGCACTAACATGGGTATTGAACAAGATAATAAGTGTTGAGTATGAGCAGTAAATATGACAATAGATATGTTGTACATGTGTAACACCGTCCCCAAGTATATTGACTTTTTACCATAATACGCACTGAACCTTGACAAATGGTTAATGAATTTACGAGGTTGTAAATTTTTGTTAAAACAAGGATTTCCTGAAATTAGCAAGGATTTTGGCAGAGACAAGTGAAATTTGTGCCAAAAACAGTTAGACCCGAGCTATTTGTCACGAGATCATCAACAAATATGTGTCAAATTCGTGTCAATCCCATGATTTTTTTGTAGTGAATTGTAAACAAACATTACAATTTAAAAAATCTCAAAATCGCCACTGATTGTACCATATATAATCACAGCACAACAAATTGTACCACAAAACTTGTGGGATTGGGTAGTTAAAATATCATTTTAGGATTAAATGATTCTTATTTAAAAATAACAATGATAGGTTTATTTGAATTAATGAATCGTGTTTGTGATCATGTATAAGAAAACTTTTCTATCTCCCAGAGTAGTTCAACATTAAGTCTACATTATCAATTTAAGAATATGTTTGGAGTTTTCATAAATGTTACTCCGTACTACATTGAAGTTTAATTTCAAAGAAAAGACTAATATAACATTATTACATATGAACAAAATGTGACTAAAAAGGTAATAAAATCGAAAAGTTATGAATGTCATTACCTGTTTATTATGTGACCCAGAACTTTTTTCATGTCATCATCACTTTGTTGTGTCACAACTAGTGGCAGCTGGTGTCATTGTTGACTATTGTTACCATCAATGTCACTGCTACCGTGAAACATGTTATTGTAATCAACACAATTTTTTGGGTGATTTTTTTGGAGGAATTAAGAAAAATCGAGAGACTCCAACGACTTTTCTCACGAACAACGGTCGCTATGGTTGTTGGAGGCAGCAGTGGGGCAGATGTTGGGAATAGGAGTGGGCAGTTGGTAGGAATTAGAGGTACAAGAAATCTATTTAATTAAACAAAAGTTAGTCATGTTTTTTTTAAATAAAAACTTTTTTTTTATTATTCAATTTTGCCATTTCTTCAATATGTTACTTGCAATGTAAAATGACTAAAATAAATTCATTTTTTTATTCAGTGAATGGTACACAAACTACCATCCTAATGCATAATTAGGAATATATAAACATTCAATTTAAAAGTAACTTCTGGATATAAAAATATCGCGAGCCAAAATAAAAGTATACTAAGAATGGAATGATTCAAATTAGAATGATATAAATCCCTTTCCTTATTTTTATGTACTTCTATTGTCAGTTATCCTCTTTACTCAATTTTATTTTAGCTATCCGCTATTTAATATATTGAAATAATGAGAAAAATAATACTATCCTCAATCTTCAAATGTTGTGTTCATAGTGTATATTCAAAGTGACGGTACTTATATTTTTTTGAAAATTTTATAAAAATAAAATAATTTAATGAAAATAAAATTTGTTATTAAGAAGAGCTAAGAATCACTACATAAATAAAATAAAAAATATGATTTGTATGTTACTAAAACAAAGATGACAAATGAAAATATGATCTCTTATATGGGATGACTATTTGAGTAACTTCTAATGAATACTCCGTATTAAATATTCATTTTGCACTGTAATATTACATTCACAGTGACTTTAAGTTTTGATTTATTTAATTTTTTATTAATCCATATGCTATTATAGATGATTTGTTTTTCACAAAAGTTTATTAGTTTACTAAAATCAAATAATGTTTAAAATTTCAAAATAAAAGTATCAAAATTCATGATATTTTAGGTTTTAGATTGATAGTTTTTAATCATTCAGAGTTCTGATGATATCTGGTGCATTAGGGTATCTCCTATGCCATGGTCAATTGCACTTCCACATCATCAAATAGACCTTAATCAAAATCTCCCCTCCAATGCAAAAAAATGTGGATCTAGTCTAGGTGAGTTGGCAAGAGCAAAAAATGGACAATGTCTTCTACAAGGTCTCAATATAGACCTTCGGTGCCACCCTCTCCCAATATTAAAGTAATGATTGTGGATCATATGCATTATTGACCACTCATTTTCTTTTACCTTTTTATTTAATTCTTTTTTCTTTTTACATATACCTTGCATTGGAGTCATAGGTTAATAGACCCTCTCAATTTATAAATATTTGGCCCACATACTAAATAGACCAAGTCCATATTTTTGCCACATCAACCATAATTCACCCCAAGCATTGGAGTTGCTCTTAGTGTTGATATGATTGCATCTATGGACTTGATCGAAAAATCATAGTCGTTTTTGAATTATTTGTTTTTATTAATTCCTTTGCTATTTTTTTTTCTTCACAAAAGTTTATTAGTTTGAGAAGATCAAATGGGATTTTTCTTAGAATAATGTTAAATTAAAAATATTTACTAAATTAAGGTGAGATTAGAAATATTTCCCAAAGTAATGCTCAATTAACTTTAGTTAATAAAAACGCTGATCTAGTTGCGGCTTAGGCAAAGATCAATACGGAGTAGTCTGAACATAGCAACATGCAGCACACAAGAGAAAAAGAATCCTGGGTCCCACAAATAAAAAATCTCTAATTATTTTTGGAGTGGTATAATTTTTTTTATTTGTGTTCAAATTGTTACAAAAAACATATCAAAATTTATAATTTTTAATTATCTTTCATATGATATCAATATTGAGTATATAAAAATAAAAAATTAGGAACTTTAAAAAATAAATAGTATATTTTTGAAATAGTGTAACTTTTGTATTTGTACTCCGATTGTTACAAAAAATGTATCAAAACTTATAATTTGTTATTATCTTTCATATGACACTAATATTACATATATAAAAATAGAAAAATAATTTAACACTTTACAAAAATTTTGTTTTTCAAAGTGTTATAACATTTTAATATGTACTTCAATTGCTACAAGAACTATATACAAATTTATAACTTCTTATTATCTTTCATACGATACTAATATTGCATGTATAAAAAAATTAAATCAATTACTTTGTGCGGTTTAGAATCAATTTTTATCATGCACACTATTGATTTGGAGTGATAGCGTAAAACAAATCTGCACATATTCTAGCTCAAAGAATAAAACAATAAATAAAAGTGATAGATTTGAAAATGATGATAATCATCTTTTCTCCTATAAAGCCAATGTTTGGTCCGTTAATCTACTAGACTAGATTTAAATAGATTAGACCAAGCAGACCAAACATTTTTCGAAGTCTAGTTAGTTTATGTTAAATGTTTGGTTTATTTAGTCTGATTTGTGTGAGTGTGGTCTGATATATATTCCTAAACAAATTAATAGATTTTAATAGATTTTATTTTTATTTTTATATATGTAATGTTGGTGTCATATGAAAGATAATAAATGGTTATGAGTTTGGATATGTTTTTTTGTAAGAAACAGAGTATAAATAAACAAGTTATAACACTTTATAACCAGAAGTTTTTATAAAGAGTTAGATTTTTTTTTTACTTTCATCTTTGCAGTATTGGTGTCATATGAAAGATAATAAAAAATTACGGAGTATAATTTTTATATATTACTACCTCCGTCCCAAATTGAGTTGCAAATTTGACTTTTCTTAGTCAAACAGTCTCGTTTTGTTCACTTAATTATGATGTTGATTTTTAATTATATTCTAATTTAAATTTACAACTTTGAAGAGATTTTAATGTAGTTTTTGAATATGTAAATTTTAATTATTAAAAATTGAATTAGTTATCCATAGGGAGGGTTGACTTTTATTATTGGTTGACCAAAAAATGCTGAATTTGCAAAACAAATTGGGACGAAGGGAGTATTAGTAAGAATCGGATTACAGATAAAGAAGTTACTATCGTATAATACTTTTAAAAACATAGGTTGTTGTTTAAAGTGTCTGTTTTTTTTTTAATTATTTTTACATATGCAATATTAGTGTCATATGAAAGATAATTAAAAATTATAAATTTTGATATATTTTTTTGTAACAACCAGAACACAAATAAAAAAGTTATAACATTTCAAAAATAACAGTTGTTATACCGTATGACCGGTATACGATGAGCACCGTATACGGGCATACGGTTTTAGGCACAGGCCGTATACCGTGCAACCGGTGCATGGTGAGCACCATGCACCCATGGTTGTATGAAATGTAACTCGTGTGATTCGAGATGTAACTTCATGTTAATCCAAATGTAAATTGCACTCATTCACATGTAACTCGTTGAAATGTAAACTGCTTTTATTGAAATGTAACTTGGGAAACAAATTAGATATAACTTAACATATGTAACTTCAATCTTTTGAAATGTAAAACTCT